TACTGGCTATGTATTGGCAGACTATTACACAAATTGTATATTGATGATGTAAAATATAATAAGATGAATGGCTAAATGTTTTATTCAATTAAATCACAAAATTTAGACTCAGGTAAAATTTAAGGTTACATGTCAGAGACCAGATACTCCAACCGGTTATCAAATTGTATTTTGAAGCATCTATGAATAATTTTATTTTTTCATAAAAATAAAAATAAAACAATTTTGGTTATGTTTCCAGATATGGTATGAGCGTCGATGACATCGAGAACGGCCTCCCACAAATGGACACTTCGAAGACCATGATACAGGAAGTCTGCCCAGCTTACCTCTCGGAAGTCACCTGCCATCCTGGCAAATACAGAAGACACGACGGTCTCTGCAACAACATGAACAATCCTTCCTGGGGCGCCACAAATGCACCATTCCAAAGGTAGACATTTGGATTTGTTGGTTCTGTGTAAAAAATATAAAGTAATTATGAGAAGGAGTTAATCGGGGGGGGGAGAGGGGAGGGGTACGGTCAAATAAATACTAAATTAAAATATAGTAATTATTTTAATTTTTGCCGACGTTTCGACCCACTTTGCAGGTCCTGAAAAACACTGGAGTGTGTTTCAACTGCCTCCCGCAGTGCTACATCCTACGCCCTGAAGACGACCTGTAAAGTGGGTCGAAACGTCGGCAAAAATTAAAATAATTACTATATTTTAATTTATTATTTATTCGACCACACCCCCCTGATTAACTCCTTCTCATATTATATCAATGGTCAACCATCTCTACATCATTATAAAGTAATTAAATTAACTTTTTTGGGTAATGCTCTTGAACCTCTCAGTATGCCAAGAAACCAAAATTGATTAAATATTTGGACATCCTGTCAATTTTGATACAGTTATAAAAATTTTAATTTTACGTATGTTGTCGATATGGAAGGAAAAATACTTAAATTTTCTAACTAGTATTTTAAATATTAGTATTTATACTGAAAAATGTTTTAAATTAATTACAATAATAGCCTATCTCTATTAGACCTCCTTAAACAGAGGCTTTTGTCTTGCTTAATGAAGCTAAAAGAGGTTTATTAATATTATTAATTAGACCTCTATTTCATTTATTACATTTTTTTACAATTATAATAAATATAAACATAGTTACTGAATAATATATTTCTGTGGCAGCAGTGAAAAGTGCGCTGAGTGTAATTTTTTGTAAATTTTTATGGGTATCACAAGAAAGCTAATTTTTCTCTTTTTCTTTGTGTCTAATTGGCTACATTATGCGGATATTACAGAGATGAACATTCCTTATTGAATCATGGGTTGAAATTCGAAAATTGAACTTGTTCTTGTGAAAATTTCAAACTTTCAATTGTGTTTTTCCAAAAATATGATTTGTGCACTTAACAAACTATACACAGGTGCCACAGATTTAATGCAACGCTATAAATCAAGTAAGATCTGATCAATAAATTACTTAGAGTTTTATTTATAAAATATTGTTTAGAATATTAACTACTTGATTTTTTTTTTACCTGTGCTAAATTTACAAGATATTATTAGCATTAAAAATTACAAAAGATAAATGAAATTATGGAAAACTATAAAAATATAATTAATTAAAAATTTATATACTACAATATGTCTCATTTCAAATTTCAGATTAATGGCTCCTCAGTTCTCTGACGGCATGGGAGCACCGAGGGAAAGTGTCTTAGGGACCCAACTCCCTCTTCCAAGGATAGTGTCCAGGACGATCCATCCAGACGAAGGATTCCATGACCATGCTGGTACTGTCATGGTAGTTGCTTGGGGACAGTTCATGGACCATGACTTCACCCTGACAGGAACTCCTCTTGGTAAATGTCTTATTTTCAATAACTCAATAGTAATAAATTAAATAAGATTTATATAGCATTTCCAAGTCGGATTAAGAATTTTCCAAACCAAATTGAGATTTTTTCAAATCAAATTTTGAATTTTCCATTTCAAATTAAGATTATTCCAAATCAATTTAAGAATTTTTATAACAACAAATGAATAGGATATTTTAGTTTTCTTATTAAATTCCTTAGATGTATTATGAATAATAAGGTTAGGCGTTATAGTGTTTAAAAACCAATTTTATATCATTAATAAATAGGACAAAAGACTCTTTTCTAAAGGACTGCCCACGCTGTGTATTTGGAGGCTGACTAAAAATGGAGATAACGAATATGATAATGCTCTCATTATCAATTTAAAAATGGATAAATTCTTTAAGAAGTGCAACAAGTGTTTTAGAAATAAATATATGTTCTTTCGTATGTCAGGCTTGCTTCAAAGTTACACCTTGTAGTTTTTACTTGTAGAAAATTCATTCAAATTCTTTAATTTTAATATTTCTAAAATTAGACTTTAAATGCTATAATACCTAACCGTATTATTCATAATAGGTACTATGTCTAAGGAATTTAATAAGAAATCAAAAATACACTATCCATTTGGTTTTATAAAAATTCTTAAATTGATTTGGAAAAATCTTAATTTTAAATGGAAAATTCTAAATTTTATTTGAAAACATCCCAATTCGATTTGGAAAGTTTTAGGTTTGATTTTAAAAAATCCCAATTTGGTTTAAGAAATTTCTAAATTTGACTTGAAAATGCTATAAATAGTGTGTTTATTAAAAGTATGTATCTATGCATTACGATTTATTCTTTCCAATATATATTTTTATGATATCGAAAAATTCTTTTGAGGAAATCTGAACTCCTCAAATTTCTTACTGTATATTTTAGGAAAACCTTTGTAAGTAAGCCCAAAGGCTGATCCTCTGATGACTGCAGTGATCATAACCTAAAAAATATGATCTTGAAAGGCTGTATCTTGGGTATAGTGGCAGGATTCAGAAACAATGAATTAAATATATTACCTAATTTTTTAAGCTTCATGATTAATTTTTTTTTTTTTTGGCCATGAATAAAGATCATTTAGTTAAAAAAATTCTGTACCCCGGAAGTAAAGAACATCATGTCCATTTTTGTATTTTTTTCAGGAAAGCCAATGTTCCATAACTTTGCGCCAATTAAATTTTTTTATTAGTTACTAAATTATTTAATAAGAAAATGTACATCATTTACCTCTGAGGCACAGAATTATAACTTGGAAAAATCCTTAATTTGGCTGAAAAATATTTAATTTTTCTATCTAATATCTTAAATATGGTGAATAGTGTTACATTTATTGTGTAATGACATCAAAAGAGTTTTGTTTTTAGTATCCAGACTTTTATTTCATTCATTAATTGTTTTACAAGTAACAAATATAAACTTGAATGGTCTAAACCAGGGGTCTCCAAATTATAGCCTGCGAAAGAATCTTTATCATCTTTATAACATGGAAAAATTTTTAAAAATATGAAATCTAGCAAATTACTTAGAGACAAGATTAATACAACAATTATTGCATATTTTTTTTTTTTTTTATTTTTAAAAGCTCATTTCACAGATGAAGTGGCATTTATAGAACAGAATTTTGTTTTGGTTTTTTCACCACATGCCATGTCCTATGGGACTTAGGTCTCAATGTAGTCCGCAGGACAACAATTTTGGAGAGTCCTGGTCTAAGCAATAGAGTGGTAAACACTATCCTGCCTTAGAAGACATCTTAGCACAATGACAAGCATTGTATATTTAATGCAAATACACTTTCCAAATTTATGTTTTGATGAAAACTTTTACCTTTAAATTTAATTGAATACTGTGAAACTCATTAATGATAAACCTGTGGTGTATGAAAATGAAAGGAATGTAAGAATAAAATTGCATAATAAATAAATGGATTAAAATTGATGAGTATATATTTCCTTAATTTTTTTTTTTTTTTTTTTATATCATAACAAAATATCTTAGAAAATCTAATCAATTTTAAAATAACAAAAAGTAGTAAATATATTTATTTTAACCGTAAATACTAAATTCTCCCAAAATATATCAATGAATGTTATTCAATTTATTTTACTACTCATAGGCCCGTGTAAAAAATTCGCACAGCATATAGTTATCAAATGCCAAATTAATAAGAAAATAAAAAAATACAACTTATCAAAAGATTAAGACATCAGATGTTACTTTATCGATAAATATAGTCCACAAAGCAAACAAAATTAATTTAAATCTTCATTTTTGTTTGGAACCAGCATGTATACAAATTTCAGTAAGCTGTATCTTTGCTAAAAATTGTCCGATTGCGATGATTTTTTTTTCCTTTTGTAGGGAATTTAGTAATCTTTTATATAATCATGGGCATAACAAAGAGAAAAGTGTATATTTTTCAGTTATTCGCAAATAAAGTTTATTTTCTTTCATAACTTGTTTGCCTGAATTTTCTGGGTGATTGGACTATTTTGCCAGCCTGAAGGAGAAGGAAGCCTTCGAAATTGATGGCTCAATCTTGAGATTTGGTGAAAAATTAACGAAGATGTGGCTTGCCGATCAAAAACACCATCGATAAATAATATAAACTCCCCCTTTCTCGATCATAGAGACCTCAAGTCGACGAAATGAGACATATATTCAATGACAGTACTACAATTAATTTAAGGTTGTGTGGATGCGAAACCCTATGCCTTACGTTAACTCGAAAATAGTACGTTTTTCGGCTTAAAAATGCAGGATCGTTCCAGTATCGAAGCCTAGCAAAATGTTTGTATCCACTTTATTTATTTTAGAAAGAAAAACAAAAGTGGAGAATAAGATTAGCTAATCCCCCATGAAATTCTGAATCCAACGGTACACCATTCATGAATTTGAGCATGACAGGAGCTTATATTTGGTACAAAACCAATTTTGAGCCTTACTGTAATAAAATATGTGGGGATAATACTGACCATATCCAAAGTTGTTGTAGTAACTCACCTTTTATATAAATTGTTTTTGGTTTCTTTTAGATCGCTTTTCAAAGAATGAACCCGAGGAATGCTGTAATAGACCGCCACATCTCAAGCATCCATACTGCATGGAAATCACCATTCCAGACGATGATTACTTTTATGCCAAGCACGGTGTCAAATGTCAGGACTTCGTAAGGTCGTTCCCTGCCGTAAGGCCGAATTGTCGACTTGGTAAATAACATAGTTGTCAATATTACAAAAAAAAAATATATATATAAAACTGGTATTTTATGGAGGAATAATAGTTATATTTTTAATTGTCTATGAAAAAAAAATTTCATTTTCTTTTAATAATTCTTCACTTATTTATTTATTTATTATATATAAATCAATGTTTTGGAATTTTCCTCATCTCCAGGATGTTTTTTATATATTATCTAACACCATCATATTTATTTTTCTATCCTCTTTCTTTCTTATATTCCAATCCATTGTAATTATTTTAATACATTTTTCATCTGTTAAAACTTTTTTATTTAAAGTTTTTTTTTTTTTTTTTTTTCTTACCCTCCAAAAAGTTTATTGAAACAATTACATATATAGTATACAATAATACAATATAAACATGTAATAAATTCCTTCCACTGCCCGAGGGCATTTTAAGGATTGGGAAAGAAATGTACATTTTAAATCCACTGTCAGTGTCACACTGTTATATGCGAGAGTGAATATTAAATGTAAATTCCTTTATTTAAATTGTTTTATCATATAAAAACAAAAGTTTATTGTATATTGAAATTTTATTTTTGTAAGGAAAAAAATAAACTTTCCGTTTAATACTTCACACATTTTTAACACATATATCTTTTGGAGCTTCCTTCATCTTCAATGATTTTTTCTATAGATTGTTTAAAATAATAGCAACTGTTATTCCATGTTCCTCATTTCTTGTGTCCCAATCTGTGTTAATTTCATCATAATTTTTTTTAAATTTAAAAATAACCTGTATCCATGAAGGGTCTTGGGTTCGGTACTATTTAAGGAAAGTACTGTTTCTAGGTCAACGGTAGTGCAAGGAAGCGATTTGATAGACATCAACCACCAGATTTTCCCCTTAATTAATTATTTAATTATGGTTACCCACTTTATAGAGGCTGGGTGGGGCCCAGGAGGATTCCCTGACCCCAGTATCGCCCCAAGGCTGATGAAACAGAATAAATAATTTTTCTGTCATAATAAAATTAAAATAAATAATTTTTCTTTCATTATAAGTTAAAACTTTTTATATAAAGGAATTTACACTTAATATCCACACTGTGTCACATTCCCATGTATCACAGTGTGAGACTGAAAATAGATATGAAATCTTTGGTCCTTTATATTCTTTGTGTCTGTCTTCAACAATATATAGAAAAACGTCCAGAAGATAAATAAAGATTTGCAACAATATATCAAATAAATCAAATTTATTTTATTTTATTATGTATTATTGGTTGTATAATTCTATTTCAGGATCAAGAGTGCCTTTCAATACACTGACTGGAGTCATCGACGGTAACACAGTGTACGGTGTAACTGAAGAATTCTCAAGGTAAACTAATATTGTAAAATTCTCTTAAAATATATTAAATTCAATTTAGTTAGGAATATAAATATTTTATCAAGGGATACATTGTACGAGAGTCAGATCAAATTATTGTTAATTATTCATACAATGCTGATGTGTCAATCCATATTGTAAATCTTCTTCATGAGAAATATTCGCACAAGCCAGGCAGAGCAATTTTGAGATTTTTTAAAAATTAAAATTTTGAATAAAATATTTGTTCTACTTTAGCTCAGGATATCAATTCATTATTTTTTTATTCAACTAATAATGGAAATTTAAAAATATATAGTAGTAAAAAAAAATTTCTTTTCTTTATTTTAATTTTAACAAATCATGATTAAAATTCTTCTGTATTAAATAAAATCTTTACTAAAATTAAAATTATTTATTCTAGACATTTACGTACTGGCTATGGAGGATTGTTGAGGATGAATCCAGCATTTCATGAATTTGGTTTAAAAGATCTTCTACCTCTGAAAGTCGATATTCCAGAAGAGGGGTGTACGAGAGCAAACAATACAGAGTTCTGTTTTGAAGCTGGTAATTTGTTTATTTTATAATTACTTTTTAAGTAATACAATATACTTTGCAATATTTAAATGTGAAAAAAAATTAATACATATTAAAAGCTAATGGCTATTGACAAAAAATTGTTTAATATTACTGTTTATAAGGGTGTAGAGATGGTTTACCGTGATTATCATAAATAAATACTATAAATTAAAATAGTATTATTAATTTACAAAATAATTAATAATTAATAAAATACTATTCTAGTTTATAGTATTTATTTGACCGCAACTCCAACCAACTCCTTCTCATAGTACTTTTTATAATTTGAATGTCTATTATATCTGATGTACCTGTGCATAGTGTGTTAAGTGCAAAAATCATACTTATGGAAAACACAATTGAATGTTTGGTATTTTCACAGTTGCGAATTCAATTTTCAAGATTCAATCCATAATTCACAAAGGAATGTTGATCTCTTTAATAGCTGCTTAACTTATCCCATCAGACACAAATAAATTGAAGAAATTAGTTTTCTAATGATACACATAAAAATTAACAAAATTGCACTTAACATAATTTTCACAGGTGCCAAAGATATAAAGCCTCATGGACTGAAATAATGTTTTAAAAAAATAACGAATCAATAAAAAAATCTATGTTATTAAAATTCTGTTGCGGACAGACTCTTTCAACTCTATGATTAATACAGTTTTTAACAGGCAAAATATATTTAAGCAACTTTATATTATCATAAAACTTTTTATAATGATGTAGAGAAGGTTGACCGTTGATATAATATGAGAAGGAGTTAATTGGAGGGTGCGGTCAAATAAATACTAAATTAAAATATGGTAATTATTTTAATTTTTGCCAACATTTTGACCCACTTTGCAGGTCATCTTCAAGTCAGGGCTACAAAAGATACAAAACATGTTGAAAATAAAAAATAAATATAAGTAGATATAAAATAAGAAGAAGTTGTCAGATACAGAAATAAAAGATGATTTCAGAGATATAGTGGGTGACAATGTAGTTAAATATTAAGTATTATATATGTAGAAGATAATTTTTATTTTTATTCATACTTATTTTCCATTTGTTTGTATCTTCTACATATATAATACTTAATATTTAACTACATTGTCACCCACTATATCTCTGATATCATCTTTTATTTTTGTATCTGACAACTTCTTCTTATTTTATATCTACTTATATTTATTTTTTATTTTCAACATGTTTAGTTTTTTTATCCCTGAAGACGACCTGCAAAGTGGGTCGAAACGTCGGCAAAAATTAAAATAATTACTATATTTTAATTTAGTATTTATTTGACAACACCCCCCCGATTAACTCCTTCTCATAAAACTTTTTGATTTTTATTTGTATCTATTACTTAGGATTAACCCAATATTTCATGAATTTATTTTTAAGCATCTTAGATTATAGAAATGATTGCTATTTTATTTTTTAGGTGAAATCAGAGTCAACGAACAACTTGTCCTGGCATGTATGCACACCATCATGGCTCGTGAGCACAACAGGCTCGCGAGGGCTCTCGCTCAAGTCAATCCACACTGGGACGATGAGACTCTTTATCAGGTGAAGTAAATGTAATATTTAAAAAAAAAAAAAAAAAAAACCTGTACCACAACAACCCATGAAGGGTCTTGTATTCAGTATTATTTAGGGAAAGCACTGTTTCAAGGCCAACAGTTGTCCAGGATCACACTTGAACGCCAAGTTTTCCCCTTTAATTAATTATATAATTAAGGTACTTTGTAGAGACTGGATGTGCCCCCAGGAGGGTAGCCCCATGGCCAATGAAACAGAATAAATAATTTTTCTGCCAAGAGACAGGATTCGAACCTGGGACCTTGGGCATTGGGAGCTTAGTGCCCTACCACTGAGCTACCCCACTCCCAAAATGTAATATTTACATTGTATTAAAAATAAATAAGATAAAATCCAACAAAAATTGGTAAAAAAGGAAAATAAATAATGAAAATTATGTAGAAAAAATATATATCCTCCTTTTTTTTTTTTTTTAATACCTAGGGTAAGGATACCAGTGATGGAAATTTTTTTCATTTTTGTCCTATACCACCGTAATTATTATAGTTAGAAACTTCTCTGTTGGACCATTGGAATCTTTAGGACCTCCTTTTTCTATTTAAAACTTTAAAATTGAAAAAAATACCAGACTGAAACGACAAGAAACCGCTCGACAATTTAGATTACTTCAGCACTTAGTGGACAAACGATCTAAACTTCCAATTAATTACAAAAGACTCATATACATGACTATAATAAGGCCTATTTATACTTACGGAGTTGAGGTATAGGGCTCCACTAAACCATCGAATTCCTCCCGTGTCCAATCATTACAATCCAAAATCATTCATAAAATCCTCAATGCTCCCTACTTTGTTACAAATAAAACCATCCATAATGACATTAATGTTTCAGATCTGGCCCAATCCAGATACCTATCCTTCCATAAAAAACTTCAGAATCATCCCAACCCTCTCGTTCCTAACCTTGCTTCCTCTTCAATTCCTGATAACCCTCCGAGGCGTCTGAAAAGAAGATGGCCCCGTGATCTCCTAATGTAGACATATCATTTGAGTTCTACCATTGGGTAGTTACTCAGCAAGTGTTTTCATGTCATTATATCCATATGTTCAAATTTACTAGATATATTTATATAAGACAGTTGTAAATATCATTAAGAAATAATAATTTTATTTTTAAAAATTGAAAAAATATTAAGTTATATAGGTATAATCTCCAGTTTAAAAAAGCAATACCTTTTTGCACTAGTGATGGACAACCCGAAATTTAATTGTTCTGGTAATAAACAGAGGATTGGTACCAATAATGGACACACCTCAGAAAAATTCTAAAATCTTTGTTTAACTATAAAAATAATGATAAAGATGAGATGAGATAAATGTTCAACTTAGTCTTAGCAAAACTGCTAGTAGGAAGGTATGAAACACACTGATCTCAAGAACACTATAGAAACAACAATGATAGGCATTTTAAAATTTTCTTTTGAGAACTTTGTTCATACAGTTGTAAATAGAGGGCATTGTTCTTCAGTCAAGAAAAAAATTTAACTTTTCAATCGACATGGAAGCTTATTATTTACATTTAAAGTCCAACCTGTCCATAACTGGTCCTGTTTATAACTCGTGTGTTCACCCTAATATGGAAAAAAAATTCTGTTTACAATGATGTTTAATTGGTCCTTGAAGGTATATAAAAAATTATTATTATACACTTTTTATGTTTTTTTCTTGATAAGTGTTTATACTTACTAGATATATACATAAAAAAACAAATAATTATGAACCAATGGAAAAAAAAAAAATCAACTCTACTTCTATTTTGGGCAGGGGACTTCAATTCAAAAGGAACTGAAAGTTTCAACTTAAAATTTGAAATCATTAATTTAAAAATATTTTCTTTTCAATCTTCTAAATTTTTAATTTCAATTTAAGGTAATTTTCTTTTTATACTGTAAATGTAATTGCCTCATTTAATAATTTCTATTCATTTTTCTCGTTCTCAGGAAGCAAGGAGGATAGTGATTGCTGAGATACAACACATAACCTACAATGAATTCCTACCAATTATTCTCGGTAAAGAAGTCATGGAAAAATTTGGAATTTTACTTGAAAAAGATGTACGATGTTCTCTAATTATTGACATTTTCATTTACTGTTTTAGAATGATTCTAATTTGATTTTTTATTTATTTTTAGGGTTATTGGGATGGTTATGATCCAACTGTAAATCCAAACATAATCGACGCATTTGCCTCAGCAGCTTTCAGGTTTGGCCATTCGCTTCTTCCAACTGCTGTCGAGAGATGGAGCAAAGCCCACAAATTTATCGGTAAGCTACAAAAACTTTAAAATGGTATAATGAATACATCCTCATACTTTTTAATAGTTATGAAAAATAGAATGAAAAAAAAATTATAAATGATACCATAGGTTTTTTATATATAATTAATTTTGTAAAAAAAAATGACTATATTTTATTATAAGAATAGTTCACAATCACACACCAATTTCTTTATTTATTTTTTTGTTGGCATTACAGACCATGTAGATCTTTTGCCGCCTTAACAAGCCTGCTCCATCTCTGCCTGTCTTGGGCTATTTCTTTACAGTTATCTACACGCAACTCTATTGCATCTTTGTTAATTCTATCTATCCATCTGCTTTTTGGCCTTCCACGTGGTCTTTTGCCTTCTATTGAGGCATTCATTGTTATGTAGAAGTTTCAGATGGATTGCTACGAGCTACATGCCCCTCCCATCTTAACCTCCATGCCTTCATATCATAGAATATTGATTGACCAGTTTCTGTGTTCTTTATTGGTCTTTTTTCTCCATGTCTTAGTACGCTGATCCCAGATCGCTCCAGTTATTGTGCAGAGGATCACACACTCAACGATTAAGGTATAATATTTATTTGTTACTTACATTTAGACCTGCGTTTTAGGTCTTCATCAGGTCTAAAAATAACAAGATACAAAATGTTAAAATTCTAATTAGTACAAGGTACAAACAATTAAAATTATATTTAAAACTAAATTATAATTATATTTAAAAATTAAATTGTTTTAAGATATCAGACACAAGTTGCAGATCTAATTTAGAGATTAAGAATTGAGAGGGAGTATTCGTATTTGTAGTATGTACTATGTGTCATTTCTCACCATATAAAATAGATCTATAATTTGTACCTGATATCTTAAGCCAATTCAACTTCAATTCTTAGTTTAATTTTTAGTATCTTGTACCAATTAGTAGTAACGTTTTGTACCTTGTTTTTTTAACCCTGATGAACACCTACAACATAGGTCAAAATGTAGACTTCAAATAAATATTAAACCATAATTAGTTTGTGATTAACGACCATATCTTCTGGGCCAGATTCCATCTCAATTCATATATGAGTCTACCATTGTTAAAGAAAGAGTTAGTCCTTATGATTTGTATATTTTACTGAAAACTCCTACAGATTCTCTTTACCTTTAGTTTGCATTACAGTATCATCAACAAACACCTTAATATCGGTATAAGTAAAAAATAAGCTTACTTTTTAAATTTTGTTTCATATGTGACAGGACTTTGAAAATAATCTATGCAAAACAAAAATTCCTAAATTCTTAAAATTTATTTTTTAACAAATTTTCAAATTATGATTATTTATCATCAAAAATATTTTCCAGCTTCCAAGAGGTTATCTGATCTCATTCGAAGGCCGTACGACTTGTACAGGGCTGGTGTAATGGACGAATACTTGATGGGTCTGATGAATCAGGTAGCCCAAGCTATGGATGACTCGATAACTCAAGAGGTAACTCCTTAATTCTAAATGTTTATCAGTTATTATTTTGTAGAGTAATCTCAGTCATATTTTTTAATTCTAATTATCTTTATAATTACTATATTTCTCATTACTATTTTTTTATTTTTAATGGACACATATATTCCTACCTCTGGCATCAATAGGTAACGAATCACCTGCTCAAAAAACCTGGGCATCATTTTGGATTGGATCTTGTAGCGTTTAACATGCAGAGAGGAAGAGAATTCGGAATTCCAGGATTCATGTTTTACAGGTTAGAATATATTATTTTATGTAAAATCGATGCCTGCTCATTTCTACTTCATTTACACTCTTCTATTACTTTTTTAATAATAATTTAATTCATTATTTCTATTCCTTGATTTTATTTATTTTGAAAGTAATTTAAAATGTGTAAATTACAGGAAGTTCTGTGGACTTCAGGCTGGAGAAGACTTCCAGGACTTGTTCGGTTCCATGCCCAACACTACCGTTCACAGATATATGCAGATATTTCAGTAATTATTCATTTTTTTTTTTTTTATCAATATATACCTACCAAAATAAGCCGTTTATAATATTAACAGCTTATAAAGATAAATAAGTTATAAAAAATTCTGAAATTTAAATATCAATAAATTAAAATATTGCATACCTATGCATATTTTAAAAAATAATCGAGGGTGGAGAGGGGAGGTGTTTAACAAGCAAATACATAATAATAAACAAAAATATTATCAATACAATAACATTTGTGGGTGATTCTTGACGACGTCCCCTGACTAACTATTAAAATAAACATATGTAGGTAATATTTTAATTTAATTTTATTATTTACTTCTAAATTGGATTTATAGTTAAGAATAGGGATGTCCAACTGCTGAAGGTTCAAAACTGGCTTTTTACCCTACATTGATTTTAGCTTTTTTGTTCTTAACATTTTTATTTAGAATAAAATAATTTTCCATGATCTTCAGAAGTAGTAAGAAAAATATGGTATGGGAAACTAAAATAAATAGTAGCGAATCCACTCATGTAACTTTCTCTCTTAGGAAAGCCTCATGTCCACCCATAACAATTGACAATAACTCAGTGCCTTCAAAAATCTACGTATGATACCTCGGACTCTACTTAGACAAATACTTACCTGAAATATACATACTAAATTAAAAAGGTAAAAAGTGAATAGACGATACCAAATCTCACATCTTCTGGACTACAGATCTCCACTTAACTTATGAAACAAGTGACTGATATACAACACCATACTTGGACTAATTTAGACATACGGAGCAGAACTTTGGGGTCCAGCAAAACAAAGACACATAAATAGAATATAAACAGCACAATCAAAAATTGTCAACGGACCTTGGTACATTTCAAAATTTCCTATGTGTGCTGCAGCCCAGGTGCAAATGGCATACAATTTTAAAATAATTAAACATTTTCTTTCTATGATGAAAGGGTATCTTAGACTTAACGCATTTAATATAGGTAACAAAATTACTATCCAAGTTCTTATATTTTATTGTATAAGTGTGGGTGACTTATTAATTTCACTAACTATGGATTTCATGTAGGCATATAGACACAAAGCTCCTTATCATCATGGTTCCAAAACAAATGTATGAATTACATTTTTAAAATTATATATATTTATTCATCAGTTTCCGAAAAATAAGTATGAAAGTATTTGTAAACAAACAATTCATATTATTGCTTGGCCGAAATTTCTTTGACAAAACACTACTGGATTACTCAGGGCCATGATGGATTTTAATAAAAGTTTGCTTGCCTTAATGAAAGCTTTGCCTTTTATTTAAATTGACCTAAAAGTGACAGTCCAAGAATACAAATTTTGTTATTAATTTTATTAACTACTTTTGTTTAATCAAGATTTGGGTTAATCATCATTCATTGTTGAATTAGAAATACGTTTTTTCTCACATTGATACACATTATACCTAATTTTACTTTATAGGCTATAACTTTAACACAAGAGTAAATCAGAAGTTCATGCATTAATATTATAAATTAAACAAAATCTTGATTTTTGCATGTTATCTACACAATTTTATGCATTTTGGGTTTTCATGTCACGGTTTTGCACATTTTAAGCGTATACTGATTTCAGTTATTTACTGCACAAAAATCTGGTATGATATACCAAAAGATTATGTTATAACATATTATTGTTCCCTATGTGAAACCGAGAAAGTACAGAACATTTAGATATAGATTTAGTCTATTCTATTAATTTTGGCTAAACTGTATACCAAGCAATTCATTGTTAAATGTGTATACTTGACAGTATATCACAGGATATTGCTTAGCTTAATATTTAAAAATAAATAAATTTTAACACAATGGAAATTAAATTTTGTTTTTTATGTGCTCTGAAAAGTTGTGATTTGATACTTTTGTGGTTTATTGTTGAAGCTGAGGATATAGCAAAATATTGTTAATTTTTAAATTATTCTAATTTACTGTTTTAAATTTGTAGACATACAATGGATGTGGACTTATGGTCGGGAGGTGTCTCAGAGAAGCCACTTCCTGGAAGTATGATTGGACCCACTTTTGCATGTGTCATCGCGACTCAAATGAGCTTTTTGAGACGAGGAGATAGATTCTGGTACGAATTGCCAAATCAGCCATCATCCTTTACTCTAGGTACTTTACGCTTTTGGATTTCAATATATGATCCAGAAATTTTTTTAAGCGAAAATTATTTTTAAAATTTGTTATAACAGTTAAAAATTTATTCATGATCCTAATAAAATTTTACAGAACAACTTCGAGAAATCAGAAAAGTAAAATTATCAAGGATACTCTGTGACAATACAGATTTGATAGATTCAATTCAAGTATATCCTATGGTTCTTCCTGATTATGAAATGTAAGTAATTCTTATTTATAAAATGCAATTTATAAAGGATTTATGACATGAGTCTGTAAACCATTTATCATAACAGTATATAAAACAGCTCTTTCAATATTTAAAGAAAGATTATCTTCTTTCATATGGTCAGTTTAATAAAAAATATGACGTGTACTTAAAGTTGGAACAATATTTTAATTTGGTTTTCGTGGAGTGCTCTTAATGGCGTTTCTACACCAAAGTGGAGTTTCTCTTCAAGTCTGTAAATGTCATATTACCAACTTCATATTTTCTTGATGTATTTTTAGTAGTACAGTTGTAAATTTAAATAATCTCTTTATATCCCTCGGTATCATTCAAACTAATTATCTGAGAAACAGGCTAACAGCCTTCGCCCACACTCCTTGTAAATAGGGTGAAACATATAACATAGAGCCGGGAACTTATAATAAAATTATTCCAACGAAAAAGGCTAAATTTACTGCTCTATTATTTCAAATTATACAATACAGATTGGAAGTTTTCCTAATTTCTTATAAGTTTTTAATCTATTTTAATATTATCTTAAATAATTGTGTAAATAATCTGTTTGGCGGCAATTGTAAATAATCTGTTGAGCGGCAATTGTAAATAACCTTGTTTGGGGACAATTTTAAATAACCAGTTCGGGTGGAAATTGTTAATAGCCTTCCGTTTTATTGGGGGTATTGGTTATTTACACTCTAGAATATTAATTTTTTAAAACAAAACCCCGGCACTGGATATAAACTTTTTGTGGGTGTTTACAGTTTTTGGGAATTCGGGAACCTAATGCTTTTGTGACACTGAGTGACAAGAAATGATAAGAATATATATACATGAAATGTGGGACTAAGTAAATACACTTTGAATGAATTGACTCACCTGGATTGTTATTCTTCAATTGTGAGGCATATAGGACAACTAAATAAAAGAACTATCCACTCCTGTATAATAAAATAATTTATTTCCACAACTGTAATAAATTTCTTTGTTCTGTGCCTTTTTCGTCGATTGTTTATCGATTAGGAACTTTTCAATAAACAAATGTCCTCTGCACAATTGAGTCCAATTCATAGTGCGACCATACATTCCTTCTTATTCCCTCACTCAAGGTCACATTAAGGAGTAAATACTAGAGGTCATCGACTATAATTTCTTAATCAATTCAGTGATATATGTATTAATATCATAAGTAGGAATTATCCATCCCTTTTCCATTCACATTATAAAAGAGTAGAAATGAACTTTTTAGTTACAATACATTTTTCTCAGTCTCCAATGGTCATTAATACCAGTGATACGGCTGAGAAAGAGAAACTGGAATCTAATAAAGTCCTGCTTTTCCCTCCATGTGAATGGGGAGAGAGGAGGGAAGTCTTGGCTCAGTGTTCCCCTGAATAAATGTTAATAAATTTTGTATATATGTATGCCTGTATTTAAGTTTTCAATTTTTACCTAGGACTCCATCTGGACAAACGTCTAACTTGGAATCCTCACACCAGACTGAAACAACAAGAAACAGCTCGACGTTTCCGACTACTTCAACACTTACTAGACAAATGCTCTAACTTTCCAATTAATTATAAAAGACTCATTTACATGACTATTATAAGGCCTATTCGGACTTACGGAGTTGAACTATGGAGCTCCACCAAACTTTCAAATTCCTCTCGCATCCAATCCTTACAATCCAAAATCCTTCGTAAAATCCTCAATGGTCCTTACTTTGTTACAAATAAAATCATCCATAATGACCTTAATGTTCCTTATGTATCAGATCTGGCCCAATCCAGATATCTGTCCTTCCATAATAAACTTCATAACCATCCCAACCCTTTTGTTTCTAACCTTGCTTCCTATTCAATTCCTGATAACCCTCCGAGGCATCTGAAAAGAAGATGGCCACGTGATCTCCTAATGTAGACATATTAGAGTGCTACCAATGGGTAGTTTCTCAACATGTTTTTCATGTCATTATATCCATGTGCGAATTTACCAGATGTATTTTTTTGTATAATAATAATAAAAGGCTTAGCGAACCCGAAGGTTCGATGCCGACACCACCAATCACTTATTACACACCTCCCTCCACCGTTTGCCATCCAAACCCAGTCCCTTTAGATCGGCTTTAATGCAATCTTCCCACCTTCGCTTCGATCTACCCCTCGGACGCTTACCATTCGGCACAGCAAATATTAACCTTTTAGGAATTCTCTCGTTACTTAGCACAACATTTTTTTGTATAAAGTTGTAAATATCATATAAATAAATAAAAATAAAAAAAATTTCAATTTGATAACTCAAAGTTTCTTATTTGTTTTTATATAAATTTTTAATGTCATTATTTTCCTGTCTGTTATTCCATTTAATTTATTTTTATTTATTATATCTATGGTGTGCAAGAACTCTTTTATTACAGTTGGGACAGAATGTATTATAACTGAATAAAGAAATACAAAAAACATAATAGCGATAATATCTATTATGGATAATATAGATATAGTAATAACTATTATTGCTAATTATTATAAATATTTTTTATTTTATTACAGAAACCCAAGGGTCCCGTGCAGAAGTGGGATCTTGCCTAGCTTGGACCTGACCAAATGGGCCGATTACGGTAACGAAGTAAGTCAAGGTTACCAAATATTTGGGAAAAAAAAGTAGAAAATGCACCAGCCATTTGTAAATATTGCCATAATCCAGCTGCCATATAGTTACCGAGTTTTCTTACAAGATGGTGGACTGTTCAGTTTCCTCATTTGTAAATATCTGATCGCCTTCGTCCATTCCTCTTTGGAACATTATTATTCGATAAGTTTTTGTTATTTTCATATCAAATAAAGTGCCAATAGAGTTTTTTTTAATTTATTAATTGTTTCTTTAAAAAAAATATGTATTGAGGACTTCTTATTTGATATTCATTTAATATATTTTCTGAACTATTGATATATGAATAAAAAAAAATTATTAACTTCTTATCAGAGCCTTTCATGTTTATCAATATAAAATATTATTATAAATAGAGAAAATTGTTAGTTACTAACCAAATAAGCTGTGATTTCATTAATAGTGCTTCTAAAAATTATGAACAGCTATATAGTCCCTAGAACTTCTAAGTAGCAGTTTATACTGAAATATTATCAATAACATTTCTATTAGTCAAATGTTAATATATATTTTTGCTATTAATATTTTGATGCTTATTTTTTATACCAGTCAATATCAAAGTATTATTGATATCTTAGTGAACTTTAATTTCTTTTGTTGTTAATGCTGTACTGTCTTGGGGCGTTTTACTATCTCTATTTGGTTAGTCTTTTAACCTTTTAGCAACGAGAAGCGGCCTTGAGGACGGCATTAGTTGACAGTTCTCCATACTCTTTTGACGAAATACTTTGCATTACCTCTATTCACCACTTTATCTTTTTTATTTAGGGCATTCTACTGTTTTACCTTGTTTTCTTAGTTACCTTTGTATACTTTCACTTATCTATATATGTAATATGTGGTGAAAATTTTCAATCTGTGCGAAAATGCTTAAAAATGCGAATCTGATTTTTCAACAGAAATATATGTTTTAATATATTGGTTATTTACAGCTATTTTAGAGAATCACGGCTTTGTTTTATAATCTTCCACTAACATCCTAAAGAGAATATACTTTGAAAACAATTATATCACAATAATTTTATATCAAAGTAATATAGCTGCTTTATGTCTTATATGAAATTCACTAAGAATAGCTTATTATGTAATGCCTTTTACATAATTTGTATTCATATTTCTGAAATATCAATAGTTTTTTAATGAATATCAACTATTGGTCCTCTCTAATGTACAGGCCTTTTATTTTAGAAATGAGCATGTAAATTGTATATATTGTTTTTATTATATTTAAATTTTAATAAACAATCAAAATAAATAAATGCAGTTTAGGATAACTGAAGTTACCATGTTGGACTGTTGGGTTACTGAAATACCTGATTATATTTAATGAAAGGCATAAATAAAAATATTGTTTTTTAAATCTCAAATATTTGATGAGTATTATTAGAATTAGTCAAAAATATATATCGGAAGGCCAATCGTAAAATCATGACACTTCATGATATGCTAAATCAAAGCAATAATATCCATGAATCGGAATATCGATCAAAGCAATCTTATCTGCTGTGACATCCTGTATTGAACAGAAATAATGGCTTTTAAAAAATTCAACATTATAAAATATGGTTGTAATTATTTTATCTTTATTAGTTTCTTACAAAATTTTAAATTATTTTTGTATTGGTGTTCTGATTTATTCAAAATTTTGCTACTAATTTTCAATACCGTAATGATATTCTAAAAAGTAAGTTTTTATAAAGTGATGTCGGAACCCCTGAGAGATGAACATTCCCCAACTATAATATATTATGATTTGTTTCTTTTTAATTATTTTTTTACTACTATTTTTGTTCTTGTTATATTTTTAAAGTCTATAATGCAAATTTCAATAAACTCAATAAATGTGCAAGAGTATTTATTTAAATAAAAGGGCATTCATTCTTATCTGGGCCAGAAATTTAAGCTCAAGATTAGCATAAAATACCTAAAATTGGGAGAGAGTTTGCAAAACAAATGTTGTTGAAAGAAACTTTTCAGACTAGATTTTTTTTTCTTTTTTAACTACCTACTCTTCATAAAATTAATTTTAACCGTCCAGGCTGGATTCATACCATGCCGCCAAACTCAATTGCACCATAATCTTAGCAACCTTAACTATTAAGGCGCCATCTGTATACTCACATCAATCATGGCTTCATCCCGGTGTAAATAAATTTAAGAACCTTTAATTGATAAACATTAGTAAAATATGAGGAAACAAGTAATTTACGTTCTATAGACTGGTTATGGTTCCTTGATATTCTTTACCAGTTATTTTTATCATTATCGATATTAATGGTCTGATATAAAATTAATATAAATTATCCATTGAAAATTTTCTGTAATATTTCTTTTGGTATTACAACAAGAATGATTACATTTAATAAATATAATAAAATCATAAAAGTTTAAATTAACTTAAATTTTGGGATGAAATTGTAAAATTAATCTAGTTGGTGAAGTGGTAGTTTTTATTATCACTACAAAATCAAATTATTGACACACATTTCCAAAAATATTTCAGATTTTTAAATACAATTCTTCAGCCATCAATGCAAAAATTCAGTAGTTAAAGTAATTATTTTCAATTGTGGTTAAAAATAATCGATTTTATATTATTATGATAAAATTAATAATATTTTATCAATGTTTCGGATAATATCATCCATTTCCAAGAAAAAAAATCAATTATGACAATTTTGTGAAAAAAAAAGGACAATTGGAGCAATAAAGTTTTATGATTTATTTTCTTGCAGGAGAATTATTTGCATGAAAAATTCTTGACAATGAACAATCTTATCTGAAACATCTGAAAAATGTCAGGTAATTTTTAAACCATTGGGCTTAAAAGGGTCCGAAAAGACGTTTGAATTCGAATTGAAAAAACAAAAATGTAATATCAGCTAAAAAGCCAGTCATAAAATTTTAATGTAATATCTTCAGGAATTTATAAAAAAAATAAGAAAACAAAATTAAGGTCATGGCCATATAAAAAAAGAATCATCTATATCATCTGCTTAAAGCATACTGACGAACTTATTAAAGATGGATAGCATCTTATTGAGTTGAAACAATTGTAATATTGCAATCATGAAATGTCAAAGAATATATAAATATTTCAGATTATACGATTGGAATCCATTTCTTTCCCTCCGAGTTAGATTATTGTAACTGACAACTTTTTGAGTACTTTGGTTTTTTGTTTTGTTTTCTCTTATAAAAAAATGATAATTCATTATAAGAAATAAATTTAAAATAGTTTTCCAGTAAATAATAATAAATTTATTTTAATTATAGTTATGAAAAAGAAACCTTAATAAAAAAAAAGTTACAATTGTTTACTTCTGAGGTAATGATTTCTATTATAAAATAATTTAAATCTTTTAATGTCAACTATAATATTTATTATATTATAATTCTTTATCTATAACTTAAATTTAGCCTATTCTATTATTTTATTACAGTAGGCCTGTAAATTAAATGCATGTTGTATATGCTCAATAAAACAATTACAACTATTGCGTGTAGTATTTGAATTGCTTTATCCACAAGAAAATTCTTGAAGTGTGTATAAATTTGTGAACTGAACTATTTGGGAACCAAGAGAGAATTTATTAGAACCTATGGATATTTATGAAGCACTAAGTATTTACCAATGGATCTCAACCATTAGGGCCACGAAATGAAAAATTGCTTAAAAGGAAAAGAAGTGCTGTAATAATTATATGCACAGACTTTAAGAATAAGCGTAATATTATTTATTGTTTTTTAAGAGAAATGTTAGTCTTGGTGAAGTAGTAAATCATAGAAAATTTTTAGCTTTAGCTTTTCCAAGTTTGTTACTTTTTTTCTTCATAATTATACTTATTATTAGTTTTTAAAAATTAAAACATTCATTTAAAAATAAAAACTTAGGCTAAACACTAAATAATTTGTCTAGATTGTTTTAAATTATAATATAATTTAATATTTTCCAAATACATAATTTTGGCATTGCATCACACACCATCATTATTGCGACACCATGAGCTGCAATCTTCGGCCATTGAACACTGCATTGGGAGAAGTCTTATGATGAATGATATATTCATTATATTCAATGTTAGGTTTTAGTAATTTTTATGATTTAAATTGATTTTCTTTACTATTTATGCTCATTGTAGAATATATGAGTATAACATGGGTGATAAATATTCAGGACGCAGTCTTTTTTAAAATTATTAATTTTGCCAACGTTTCAACCCAAACTTGTGGGTCATCTTCAGGGCATGGTTTGAGCACTGAGGGTGTTTTAGTAAATATGAGTATAATAGTACTGTATAACAATTTACACTACTCCTAAAAATAATTAAAATTAAATGAAATTTTATTAAAGTTTTTTCTAATTTATCATGGCCAATTAATAGGCTAATGGGAACATGGTCTTAGGAATTTGACATAAATTCCTAGTATTCAGCTAGTGTTGCTACCTGTTGGAGAGATTGTGAAACATTAAGAAATATATTTTCATGACAAGGGAGGTGTATTTCAAAACTACTATTTTTCTTTCGGGTACAAGTAACTCTAGTATTTTAAATACAAAAGTAACTTCTAAATAAATAAAAAATATTGCATTGTTATTAACAGTTATTTTTTTAGCTCAGCCACGAAATTAAAAGAAACTAACTTGGTAGCTTTCTGTTGTTCTTTCCTTTTTTGTTTTTTATTGGTGTTTTGTAATTTCAATAATTTCGACAAACTATTCACAAATCTATCGCAAATAGTTCAGCTCATAATTATACCATTATCCTTTTATTTCAAAATGCTTTTACATTTGCTGAGTTAATTATGTGTACATAATGTATATTAGCCTTTCAGCAATAGAAACTACTGGCATCTTCAATGGTAAGTAAATCTCTCATATTGACGATACATTATCTTGTATAGTAAAAGAAAAATGTTTTATTTTTGTTTTCAGTTGCAGGTAACATTAGTCAATAATACCCTGTATATAGATATTACAATTTCAAATTAGATGC